TTAATAACTTCACATATTATAAATTCATTACAAACAAAATTTTAACTTTTTTAAAAGATTGGATTTTACTGTATTTATATTTACATTTAATTTATTTATTTTGATTATACATTAATTTTTATACATTTATTATGATTATACATGATTATACATTTTATTGATAATCTAACATAAAACAAAATGTCATCAAATAATAAGAAAATATATTTAAACATTTAATAACATAAAAAAAAAATACAAATCTTGATTTATGAAAATATATAGAATAAAAAATATCTAATGAATTTATTTTTACAATTTTATATTTTTACTAAAATAAATAAATAATATATGTTATTAACGATTATTATATCGTAGAATAATTATAGTCATAAAATAATCATAATGGTTCAAAATAATCATAACATAAAATAATTATTTTTTGAGAAAAATAACTATAGAAATTTTTGTATTTTAGCCAAAAATAGAATTACCAGAATATGGAAGCGATGATGATTGTTCTCCAAAGCAGGAAGTCAACACACTGCCAAGTGGCTTTCTTAGCCTTGATGGTGGCATGGAAGTTTTGCCATCTTATCCACCTTCTTATCAAGGTAATTTTAAATAATATTTTAATTCAATTTCAATCAAATTTTTATATTAAATTTACTTGCAAATTTATTTAAAAATAAAATAAAATTAATTTTATTTTTATTTTATTTAAAATAATTTTAGTACATAATAAATTTTAAACATTTATATTTTTCCAGGTGGAGGAGCAGGAGGAGGAGGAGGAGGAGGTGGAGGAGGGGGTGGATCATTAGAAGGTGGGATGCCAGGACCATCTCATGCTGGAAACACAGAGTTAAATCAAGAACAGCAAGGTAAGTGACTGCCCGTCCCAACCCTAATTTTTTAGTAGTGCGAGCACCATTACAAACAGCAACAACCTAGCCGATCATGTCGGACAGAATTTTTTGGATGCGAATATAAAGAGGAAGGAGAAGGAGAGCCTCGGTTTGAAATGGTAAGCTCGTGTAGCTCGGTAGCTCTTGCTAGGCGGTAGGAGAGAAAGGGAAAGAAAGAAAAAAATAATGTATGTATGATAGAGTGTGAAAAAGATAGAGTGAAGAATGTGTAGATGAGTGAGGCAGAGGGAGAGAGAAAGGAGAAGAAGAGACATTTGACACTCGGAGGCGATTTTCTGATTTTATCCAGGGGAGTGCAGTTTGCGGCTGTTGTGTGAGAAAGTCAGCTACGTGTACATATTCGGGCTCTCTACCTGTTTATATTATTTGCCAGAGTTGGAGGTGATATTAAAAGGTTATAACAAATTTTGTATAAATTAATTTTTACAAAAAGAAAATTTGATACAATTTGCGTTATTTTCTGTTTTTATATATTATATATTATATATATAATATTTTATATATTATATA